TCCATGAATTAATATTCAATTACCACACTCCACATTTACTATTATGTTGGGATTATATTTACATATTATATTGATTGATGTCTTTAATCCATGTAGGTAAAACAATATAGGAATGTTTTGTACACGTTACTCTATTGTTGTAATGTTTTGTACAACAGGCCCTCAAAAAAAATAATTAGATGAAAAAGGAGGTTTTTTTAGAATACCTCTTTTCTGACATTGCCACTCATTCATACTGAGACTCGAACCCAGGACAAAGGGTCAACATTTGCCAACACCTAAGCCAAGAGTCCATTGTTGGCATCAATGTTTCATTGGTATATTTTTTCTGCTTTAAGTAACTTGAGTTACAGTAATATTTCTAATCCATGAATTAATATTCAACTACCCCACTACACATTTATTATTGTGTTGGGATTATATTTACATATTATATTGATTGATGTTTTTGATCCATGTAGGTAAAATAATGTAAGAATGTTTTGTACACATTACTTTATTGCTATCCTACCTTGTAATGTTTTGTACAACAGGCCCTCAAAAAAAATAATTAGATGAAAAATGAGGTATTTTAGAATACCTCTTTTCCGACATTGCCACTCATTCATACTAAGATTCGAACCTAGAACAAAGGGTCAACATTTGCCAACGCCTAAGCCAAGAGTCCATTGTTGGTCTCAGTGTTTCATTGGTACATTTTTTATGCTTTAAGTAGCTTGAGTTACATTAATATTTCTGATCCATGACTTAATATTCAACTACCCCACTACACATTTATTATTGTGTTGGGATTATATTTACATATTATATTGATTGATGTCTTTGATCCATGTAGGTAAAATAATGTAGGAATGTTTTGTACACATTACTTTATTGTTGTCCTACCTTATAATGTTTTGTACAACAGGCCCTCAAAAAAAATAATTAGATGAAAAATGAGGTATTTTAGAATACCTCTTTTCCGACATTGCCACTCATTCATATTGAGACTCAAAGCAAGGACAAAGGGTCAACATTTGCCAACGCCTAAGCCAAGAGTCCATTGTTGGTCTTAGTGTTTCATTGGTACATTTTTTTGCTTTAAGTAGCTTGAGTTGCATTAATATTTCTGATCCATGAATTAATATTCAACTACCCCACTACACATTTATTATTGTGTTGGGATTATATTTACATATTATATTGATTGATTTCTTTGATCCATGTAGGTCAAACAATGTAGGAATGTTTTGTACATATTACTTTATTGTTGTCCTGCCTTGTAATGTTTTGTACAACAGGCCCTAAAAAATAATTAGATAAAAAAGTAGGTATTTTAGAATACCTCTTTTCTGACATTGCCACTCATTCATACTGAGACTCGAACCCAGGACAAAGGGTCAACATTTGCCAACGCCTAAGCCAAGAGTCTATTATTGGTCTCAGTGTTCCATTGGTACATTTTTTATACTTTAAGTAGCTTTGGTTACATTAATATTTCTAAACAAACAGTCTATCAATTTTGACAGTGATTCTCCTATGTATTTCTTGCTTCCAAAACATAGTCATACCCAAAATAAGACATACATTTTGTAATGTTCGAACAGTTAATTTACAAAACACGATGATACTCAACATGTGGAAAAAGTTACAAGCATGCATACAATGAATACAAGGTCAATTACATGACATCTAAAGGTAACAAGGGCAGTCGAAGTAGGCCATAAACTTTGTACAAGAAGTCCAAAAGGTTACAAGAATACACACAATCAATGAAAAGTCAATTACATGACAAGTTTCTTCTCAATATTTAAAGAGTCGATGCTAAATTGGATGATTCATCCCCGACGTCATTGCCATTCCAGATGTTGGCGTCACATTTGCTTGCCCAGGTGTCTGCAATTAACCACAACGACAACAAATGTAATCCAAAAAATTTTTGCAAACTATTATCTATCATCACATTTACAATGAGAACAATGACAAAAATATTAGTGGAGAACGAATTAAATGATTACCTCATCACCTCCCAAATGATGAGCACTTGATTCATCATATGAAGAGGGCGTATTGAACAGTTGAGATGACAACATGGCTGGATCGCCAATATCAGCTTAAAACATTTATATTGTTGACAATACATATTAAGGTAAAACGAAGGGAGGCCTTAGGCAACCCCCATAATTCACTGCTATATGATTTTAAGCACACCATTGATCAGCTTTGTTTATCTGATATTCCAATGGATAATGTATAATTTAAATGGGGTACTAAAAGGTTTAGTCAAAGAAGAGTTTATGCAATGCTATATCAAGGTCTTATGAACCAGGATTGGGATAATGTATTTCCAAGTTCACATTTTATTCTTACTCCACAACATTCATTTCAGATCATAGGGGACTTAAAGTGAAAATTCCTTTGCACATTGGTGAAGGTCCAAAGCCTTTCGGATTTTTGTTGGTTTGGAATAAATAAGCAGTGGTTGGCAACATTATCTCTGATTAATTGTCATGGGTAGGAATCTAATCCAGAAGCTATTGTACTATTTTACATTGGCTAAAAGGGCTATAAAAAATTGGAATTTTTGTAAAGTTTGGGTCTATTTTTTAGGATGTTATTGGTATTAAGAAGTCTCTTGAGCAAGTGTAATTGAGTTTAGCCGAGAATCCTATGAATGATGTTTTCATTGAGGAGTAGGATATTAGACAGAAATTTAAATGTGCTAGCTCTAATCAAGCAATTCTTCTGTCTCACAAGATAAGAATTAGATGGATGAAGGACAAAAATAGGTGCAGAAGGTTTTTACATCAGCATATTAAAGAGCATACGGCTAGAACCAATATCACTGTCATTTAGGATGCGGCAGGGAATTTTATACATGATTATGGGCATATGAAAGACAATGAGGAACTTCATTTTGGGGCATAATGAAGACACAAGGAATTTAAAACGGACGAAGCTTGCTGCTCCTAAAGAATAAGGTGGTTTGGGGGTGACAAAAGTTTTGGGTATTGATTTACCTGAAAACTGTGTATTAGCTTCAGATTATTTACTATCCAAAGATAGGATTTCGGTGGTTAGGTATAAACATTGTTCATGTTACCTAAGGAATACATCCTTTTGGCAGGTCATTCCAAAGGTTTCAGATTCTTCTATAACTGTATGTGAAAAATTTTGATGCTATTTGGGGGACTTCATGAAGATCAACTGTAAGTATGTTATTCGAAAAAGGAACTGACATCAACATTTTTCTTCATCCTTGGTGTGAGGGTAAAATGATGTCAATTTTTTTTTTTTCACATATAGTTTTCGATCAAGAGTTTTGGGGATTTTATTGCTGCAGGTCAACGAAAAATGGATAATATTCCAACTGATCTACATTAGTGTTTTGCATTAGGTTTTAGTGTGACTTTTTTTTATGTTGTTTGGTCCGGGCAAAGTTTGGTGTGGGATATGTCGCATGTAATCTTTGTAATATATTGTTTAGATGTAAAAAAAATTTATAATATATTGTTTAGATATAAAAAAAAAAAATTGGTCCATTTTGGAAAAACAAAGAAAATAATGCATCTTAATTAACACACTTACATGGTTAGTTGATGAAGTACATGGTTCACTAATATTAAGCTGTCTGTTGTGGAATACAGCTGGTGGTGTTACGTAAGATTCTTCATTGAGAAATTCGACAGGAATTTCTGCACCCTAAAATATTTCATATAAACACTGTCAATACACTTTTAAACATAATCAACATGTTAACCAACAGTCATGAATGAATAGTAACTGCTTATATATAATATACTTGCAATAATACTCACATTCACTAACACGTATGAGGGGGTTGACAGACTATCGCTGCCACCAGCGTCTCCCAAAACAACGGTTTCATTTGATATCTAAAACGTAAAAAATGGTAGTTTCTTCCACTCACGAGTGTTTTATGATGAAGGATATAATGTTATGAAATTGAATTTATTTTGTTCGCATGTTCAAATAGTTAAACAATAAAATAATAGTGTGTGCGACAGTAACATATACCTGGCCTGTTGCTTTCGTTGACTTTATCCTTTTCCCACTATTTAACTCTATGGCTGGTTTCAGCCTCTTAAATCGTCCTTTAGTGGTATCTTTAACTTTCAGGGACATGAGAATTGTTCCACTGTTGCTTTTCACCATTTTTTTTCCCTTACCCCTTCCAATTTTCTCTGCAAACCTACGACCACAAGTTATTTGTACTATTCTTCACCAGTCCAGTGCTTTTTCTAATAGATCATTATATCCTTCGGGGTCGTGCGATGCAATGGAAGATATTTCAGTCAGTATACGGCAAAGCGTCCTATGCCATCGCTTAATTTTAAGTTGAGGATCCGGATTCACTTCGGTAGAAACAATTTCCTCCAACTTGCCATCTCTAGCATTTCTAGTCCACCTTTTTACTATATATCGGAAAGGCAACTCATCACAAACATGCAGTCGTTAAGGATTTTCAGACTGTGCCTGCACAAATAGCCCTCTCTTTCAAATTTACAGCATGAGCATGACATGAATATCTTCAAATGTCCTATTTACACGATGTTGCACCCCGTCCTCACCAGCAACTTTATAAACACGGTGTCCATTGTTATCCAAGTCACTACAACTAATAACAGCCTGACTCGCAAGAGCAGCTAAAAACTCCTCCTGGAAAAGTTGAAATATTGCCTTGGTGTACACCTTCCACGCTTAACGTAATATGTGGTATTTTGTTTTTAGTTCTGGTTGCCTCTCCACCAAGCCATACTCGGCTTCATACACTTTGTACCGTTTGTTGAACAACAATCTGTCAAAGTGTGTGAAGAATTCTGGTAGAGTAAGTTGTCTGGAAAAGTAATACTTCAATTGACCATTGAAACTTTCACTCAATTGCGTGCTACTCATTCCTGCAGACCACTCGTGTTTAACAAATGCCAAGGCCCATTTATGTCTCAAATCTAACAAAGTAGAAAGCCACTTATTACCAACAACACCATACTCTGCAATCATTAAATCCCATTTCCTGGTAAAATCATCCTCCTCTCAATTTGGAACATTAATTTTAAGATGACCTGCTTTAATGCCTTCGTCATTGCAGCATCTTGATCTGTAATAATCGTCTTTGGCGTTTTTTCGCCTATCGCTTTCAAGAACATTTCAATTAACCAAACAAACGAATCCGCTGTCTCATCATACATTAAGGCTGCTCTAAACACAGCGGTCTCCAGGTGATGATTCATACCCAAGAAAATTGCAAATGGTCTGTTGCCGTGTACCACTTTGTACGTTGTGTCGAAACTGATAACATCTCCAAACTGGCCATAATCAATGATCATTTTACAATCTGACCAAAATATGTTCGTAATAATTTGCTCAGTATCCAGTTGAAAGGAATAAAAGAACGAAGGATCTTCACAACCACGCGTCTCAAAATAATCCACAAGCCATGCCGCCTCTCCATAAATAAGCTCCTTTTGTCTTTGCATCCTTAGATAATTTTTAAGATCCACTTTCAAGTACCCAATTGATTCTTTGCCACCAGACTGCCTTCCCATCAACTCATATGCATTACAAGCCGGAAATCCTGAATCCGAAGCCAACTCAACATCGATGGCCTAGACTAAGGAAATTCATTGCTGGACGGCATCATGTGGCTGCATTCAGCAATTATGAATGGATGGTTGTGACTTTGTACAAATTTAGAAACTACGTACTTTGCCTTTGTCTTGTCATATCTAAAAACCATTCGTGCACCGCAATTGGTTCGTGTTTCAGCCCGGGGAGTCTTTCTAAATATATCCCATTTGTCAGTCCCCTTCACACCTTCCTTGCTACAAACTAATGCCCTTGATGTAATTCTTCCATTAACTTTATTGCCATACTCCTTCCGGATGCTAAAACCAATTCGACCATCATATGCATTGTAAAAATCATATGCCTCTTCCTCACTATCAAACTCCATTTTATACCTTGGTTTCCATTTAATCACTTCCGGTTCTACAACAGGAACGTTTCGTCCATTTGTTGTGGCTTGAATATTATTTACTTCACCTTCCATCTGAACGCCTCAAATACAAAACATTTTCTCACATATGCACAAAATATTGAATTAACAAAAAATTATTTTACTTCTACATCCCAAGTATGTTCCATCTTAATGGGTCAAATACAAAACATTTTCACATGAATGACCAATCAAATAAAAAAACCTTTTCACATGTATGAGAAATTAAATTTGACATATATCTCATTCATTTCAATTCTTTGCATGTATCAATCAAGTATATCTAGGACAAACGACGATAAAAATCCTCGTTGCCACAACAGAACATATATGTCCAACCAACCGATGCAAATTTCACATACACTTTCTGAAAATGTTGGAATTAATATTACGCAAAATTTGGGATTTACATTACCAAACAGTTAGGATTCACCTTACGAAATAGTTGGGACTCACCTCAGGAAACATTTGGGATGTGATTTACGAAACATTTGGGATTCACATTAGGAAAATTTTGGGATATACTTTACAAATACTTTCGGATTTATATTATGAAAATTTTGGGATGTACGTTAGGAAAATGTTATGACTCACTTTACAAAAATATTGGAATGTAGATAAGGAAGAATTTAGGATGCTTATTAGGACAAAGTTGGGATGCAACTTAGAAAAATGTTGCGATGCAAGTGCAACAACCAAACATTTTCTTAACATTGTAACACTCTGAAACAATCTTTTCCGACCAGTCATGTATCCTACAAATCCTCTCATTTTTTATCCTCACAAACAAATATTAAAACCCCTAATAACTGCACAATAAAATAGCGATCAATTCAAATTCACCAATAATTTTCTATTTCTGGGTTTTGGGATGTACGTTAGGAAAATGTTGTGACTCACTTTACAAAAATATTGAAAGTAGATAAGGAAGAATTTGGGATGCTTATTAGGACAAAGTTGGGATGCAACGTAGGAAAATGTTGCGATGCAAGCCCAACAACCAAACATTTTCTTAACATTGTAACACTCTGAAACACTCTTTTCTGGCCAGTCATGTACCCTACAAATCCTCTCATTTTTTATCCTCACAAACAAACATTAAAATCCCTAATAACTGCACAATAAAATAGCGATCAATTCAAATTCACTAATAATTTTCCAATTTCTGGGTTTCTTAACAAAATTGTGTCCATATATATTTGTTTCTGCCATTCAATTTTTATGGAAATAAGATGATTTCCTTCAAAATAAAATCTCAAAATAATGAATCGTACCTGCTTAGGGTTGGAAATAAGGCAATTTCCTGCTTCGATTTGGAAATACACTTCCGCTTAGCTTTGGAAATACACTGCTGCTTCTTTTTGGAAGGAAATCAAAATCTACAATTTTATTGCGACTGACAAAAACGCTGATTCTATTTGGAAACAATTTGTAGCATCCAAATTTTTGGTTGATTTACACAACAATCGCTGCTTCTGGATTTTATTTGGAAAGAAATAAATTTCTAAAATGGCTTCATTCATATTTTGGGAGAGACGAAGGCTAGGGCAGGATTTTATTTCTATTTCAAATGTTGCCTGAAATGAGGGATGGAAGAGGAAGAAGAAATAAGGGACAGAACAAAGAGGGGTATTCTTCAACAGTGTATATATATATATATATATATATATATACACCAAATTCTGTATTCCAAAAATATATTTTTTATCCAAACATGGTTAACACTGTTCATTGACCCAAAATGAAAATACTAGGGTACTGTGGAACTAGAGGTAATCCTGGTCGCTTTTTCCTCTTGCCCAAATTACAACATATATGATGATACAAAATAATTGCACGGTGCCTTCCAAAATAATAATAATAATAATAATAATAATAATTACTTACAGGTTTTTATGTACGTATGACACTAACTAATTTGCCTATCCATTATGATTTATAAGTAGAATAAATATTGGACGATAAAGGTCAACTAGCTTCTGTGGTGAGCCCCATTACTATGCAAAATATCCATCTAGTCCATTGTCGGCATACTTTTTTTCTTTCTTTTTTCTTTTTGTATTTTTTTTTTTTCTTTTTTGGTTAGCAGCTAGTGATAGTTAGTGGGGAGTGGAATCAAATCTGGATTTATGGGGAATTTAAATATCTTGCCCATTATTACTTAGGCAACACCACCGTACCTCGCACACGTAACATTCTGGTTGAAAATTAACATTGAGGATAAAATATATATAGGATAAAATATATAATAATAATAATAATAATAATAATAAATAAATAAAACAAAAGGTTTCATAATTGAACTGAATACTAGCATTTTAACATTGATGTGGATCAAAACATACTTTGATTTAAACATTTGAACACCGTTACATAACTCTATAAATACATAACATACAGCTGCTTGATATTGGTCACTTCAACAGCCAAATGACCAACTAGTACATAGCAACCCTTATTTAGCAACAGAAAACTCACGACACTATATTTGTTATTCTCCACCAAATAGCAATACTGTGTTCTCATGGGACAGTGTAACCTGCAAAGAGAGACACATATAATTAGGTTAATATGATGTGATTTGAACAATACCTAGTTAATCATGAGCAGTCTTACGTACACATGGAAATAAAACATATATATATATATATATATATATATATATATATATATATATTAAAAAAAAAAAAAAAAAAAAAAGTCCAAAATGAACTTGTGACATTAGCTTTCATAATGAACAATACCTAGTGTTTTGATCTTTTTCTTCTTAGCCATTTAAATCACCTTCCAATTACGTTATTGGTTCCGTATTAAGACAGGTCCCACTTTTATTTCACGGTCTATAATTAAGAGTTGAAAATGAACAATTTTGAAATTAAAACACCTTAAACTAAAAAAATATGTATGATTATACTATTACTTACGTCCACACTTCTTTCCAACCGGCCTGTTTTTGATGTTGCATCGCTTTGGAATGGTAATAGCAATCGCAGGCTTGATACCGGCTTGCTTAGCGAGAGGAGAGAGCAGGACGGCGCAGAGGCACTTTGGGGAGGTCTTGAGCAATGTATTAACTTTGGTGCAGCAAGTTGGAGGAACCCTAGCCCTCGCATTCCCGGCCGACCCCAAGCACGGACTTAAACTGGCAGCTGCGGATTGGATCGGCGTCTTCCCACACTCTCCAGCTGCGCAAGCAATGTGAACAAAAGCCTGTGAAGCTAACAAGTACATGATCAGAGTAATAATTGAAGTGGTCATCTTGGAGGCCATTTTTGTGAGGCCTCAAAATGGACTAAGTACTTATCTATCGCACTGCACAGTACACACACAAACTTCTATAGACAACACTACTACTCTCTTTAGACAACATTATCTATATATATATATATATATATATATATATATAGATAGATATAATGTGAAAGGAAGAAAATGTGGTGTTTTTGCACTAGTGGGGTGGTTGGAGACGTGGAGGGACTGTGGTTTATGCTCTAATTTTGTCCAAAATGTAATGATTTAGTGATTTTTAATGGAATGTATTGGGTGAAAGATCTAGCAATACTTGTGACACGTATAATTTTGGCGCTCATGGCCTCATAGAGCCAGGACATTTCTTAATTCCACCTCATTCTGTTCTTGGCATGCTTTTGAAGTACCTTTTTTGGACTGAAGATTTTTTTGTTACTTTATTTGTTTGTGGTTGGTAAGTTATCTGAAAAGGCCTGTTCTAGGCTAGGATAAAAGAGAGCCGCAGGCCCAGTGGCGGCCCAGCCCAAACTGAGCCCAGATTCTGGTTGGGCTGGCCCTCTTAACAATTTATTTTAATAACTCGAGCAAATGATCAAGATTATGGATTAGTCATTCACCTAAGTCACACAGAGCGGGAGCGGAAACGAAAGCGAGAGCGTGAAAGCGTCAAAATCTAAAAATTTTGAGAGCGGGAGTGTCTTGAGAGCGTTTGTATATTAGGTTTAAATAAAATTATATAAGGTCATGGCATATATATATATATATTTTATATATTTTTATTTATTTAAATCCATATGCAAATATATTCATGATTATTTATTCCATTAATGATATATGTAATAAATAATCTAACTTTTCTCTATTATTCTCTAATTGGAAAGTTTTTAGTAGTATACTTTCATACATGTATAATTAATGTATGAATATATATATATATGTACATATATGGTAGTATAGCAACGCCGGCAAACTGAAATTTAAGTAATTAATGTATATATTGAGTAATAGTGTAAGTAATAAATACATATATGGTAATATAGGTGTTCAATATCACTAGGACTCTAAGAGCATCTCCGGTCTGTTAAAAAAAAAATTGTATAAAATATACACTGCCACGTATGATTTGTAAATTTTTTTCATCTCCAACAGTCTATTAAGATACACGGTCACATCAATAATGTGTAAAAGGGTTGTATATTTTACATAGCTACATAAACATATTTTCTCTCTCCTCCCCCTTTCTCACTCACGATTCTCTTCCTTCTCTCTCATTCCTTTACGCCTTTTTGTTTCCCACTTTTAAAGCGCCATAGAGAAGAATCTACAACTGGCGGCAACGTAAGAATTGATCGACCATCTTTCATTTTTTTTTTTTTTTTTAATAAAAATAGTTTGATTCATCACTTTCGTTTGATCTTATCTTCTACAATCATCGCTGTAGATTCTAGAGTTTTTTAGATTTTTTATCCTTTTACATTCTATCTAATGAGATAAATATGTACTAGCCAAATATTATATATATATTTTAATCACGATTTTATATAATTGTTGTTTGACACAGCTATACAAATTTTTTTTTTCTTTTTTGGTGACTAGTTAATTCAATCACAATTGTTGTTCCATATTTTTTGTTTCTGTAGTATCTACATACTTGAATCTTATTTTATTATTTATTATTAAGTTAGAATTTTGGTGGCGGCCAGAAAGGTTTGCTTTTGGCGGAATGGGAAAGTGAAATATAGGAGGAAATTATTAGTATTTTACTAATTGAGGAGGATTGGGACGAGATGTTTAATCGCGAAAAAAGCAAAGTGAATCAAGTAGGTTTGTAAAAATTATGTAAAGCCTTGGGTATGATACGTGATTGGTTGTTATTAGGGGATATTTTTTTACACTGAAGGTATAAAATAACCATTGGAGCTAAAAACAGGTAGTATAAAATTTTTGTGTAAATCAACTCTGATACATCAGATTTACATAAAAATATATATACAACGGTTGGAGATGGTCTAACAAATTTAGCTATATAAAGTAAATTCGTATGGAAATCGCGAATTAAGAAAACAAATTCGCGAATTGCAAAAATTGAATTCGCGAATTTTGTGCGAATCCGCTCCCAAATCCAAATTCGCGTGCGGAGCTTGAGAGCGGGGCCTCTTTGGACGAATTGTGTGACTTAGGTCTTCACTATAAAGCATGGACACTTCTGCGAGGGAGTTGTACCAGCGTCGTGCCACATTTCATATATGTGCCCATATATAAAAATTAAATTTTTTTATTTTAGACATTTTACGGACGCTTCTAGATACTTCATTGACACATTAAGATCGACACTTTCAAACATTTCTAACACAAGTTTACTCGGTAATCTTGAAAATAATATGAACACAACCTAAAGTGTTCAACTTTTTTTCTTTAAGAAAAAATGACTTTATACACATATGTAGTGGCGTAATCAGGAATTTCCTTCTATGGGGGCAATCTTTAATAAACATAATATATATATATATATATATATATATATATATATATATATATATATATATATGTAATTTGAACCAAAATAATATATGTAAAAATTAAAACATATATCGAATCATAATATTTTTTATTCAGTACATTCACAATTACCCTCGACGATTTTTCATATTCTGAAAGCGTTTAATAATACCATCATTGTCAACAGTACTAAATATGTCTCTCTCAATATACACAACCATCATATCATTCATCCATTGGTCTTCCGTTCGATTACGCAATCGAGTTTTCAAAATATTCATGGCAGAAAAAACCTTCTTCACTTTGGCAGTAGCAACTGGCAAAATCAATGCCGATTTCAAAAGCAAGTAAACTAATGGATAAGCCTTTTTTTTTTTGTTAAACTAATGGATAAGCCTTGTCTCTTTTTGTCTTAACATTCTTCAAGCAAGATCACCAATTCCTTTTAAATTTGAAAACTCCTTATTAGAGCACATATCAATAACATAAGTGTTAAGTTGATCACCAAATTTTAGGAGGTCTAATGGAGCAAAATCTCTTGGATAAAATTTCGCAAGTCGGACTAGTTTTTCCTTGTCAAAAGCAGCGAATGAATCATCTGGACACAAACACGATATACAAATAAGCAACTCAGTGTTTGACTCACTGAAACGACTATTCAACTCTTGAAGTTGCATGTCCAACACAACATAGAACAATTCCACATGATAGTAATGCAAATTTGTGATTTCATTAGCTTTACGTCGTGATCGCCCTGGAGTTACAAGTGTATCATTCATGTCAGGAACTTCAATATCATGTTTTTCACAAAAAGAAGAAACTTGATCGAGTAAAGAATCCTAACCATTCTCTCTCATCATTTGAAGTTCTTTCTTGTATACTTTAATCAAGGACATAACATTTATAATGTCTTGATTTTTCTTTTACATCGCATTTGACAATTCATTTGTAACTCCCAATATAGCCCTCATTAAATGGAGAGTAAAGACAACTGAATGACTACATGAGTGTCAATAAAATTTTTGCTTCAGATCTCTATTCAACATATGATCCATCATCTCTAACTATCTCAAGCACATTAATAACAGATGAGAACATGGAAATGAAGCTGATTAAAGTATCATAGTGAGAGCCCCAACTTGTATCACGAGCACACTTCAAAGTAGTATTCTGATTAAGACCCCGTCCACTTTCAATTTTGCCATTATTGAGTGCTTCAATAACCATGGTAGTTTGTTTTTCATGAAGAATATCACGACATTTACATGAAGCCCCAACAACATTGACCACATTAGCAACTTAACTAAAAAAGGTAGTGATATCAACATGACTTTTTGCAACTTTCACAAGAGCCAACTGTAGTTGATGAGCAAAACAATGGACATAAAAAGCACATTCATTTTCCTTTAAAATTAGTGTTTTAAGACCATTAAACTCGCCTTGCATATTACTAGTTCCATCATATCCTTGCCCGCGCAATCTAGCTATACTCAGTCCATGCCTACAAAATAGTTCATCAATTGCCATCTTAAGTGAAAGAGCAGTGGTACTTGTAACATGTTCCACACCTATAAAATGTTCAATTACATCACCATCTATATCCACATAACGAAATACTACAGCCATTTGTTCCTTTGTTGATATATCGTGAGATTCATCAACCATGTTAGAAAATAGTTCATCTCCAATATCACTAATAATAACATTAATAGTTTCAATGGCAGCAGGATTCATAATAACCTTTTGAATATCAGGTGAGGTTAACTTGAGATTTTCAGGAGCATTCTTTAATGCTACTGATTTAACATCCTCATTATGATTAGCAAGAAACTTAAAAAACTGGAGGAAATTTCCTTGATTACTTGAATGCTCAGATTTATCGTGACCACGAAATGCAAGCCCTTGTTCTAACAAATACCAAAAGCAATCAATTGATGTAGTCAAACGCTTTCGATAATCAATTCAAGTCTAGTCTGATTGCTTGAAAATGATTGTTTGAATGTGTTGATTTTGGTTCTTTAAAGCTTCATATTGATTCCAAGCTTGGTTGTGGGTACTACAACATAAATTTGAAGTCTGTCTTTCTTCTTCCATTTTGAAAATCCTTCACTAACAAAAGAGTCACCACCTAATTGTTCTCCTATATTTTGTCTCAACGCTGATGCTTGTCCAAATTTCTTTTGTGGAAATTTATGTTTCCGAGGTTGACAAGGACCCTTTAGTATATATGCTCTGCGAATTTGGTCTTGAATACTAGGATTATAATCTATAATCCTAGTTCGTAACCCATGATCTGAAGGAAGATTTGGTAAGTTAATTTCCATATGAACCTTTTTGTTCGTGTTGTCATCATTTCTTTCTTGAGGTTGAGGGGATGATAAGTCTTGTATTCCTTTGTAAATCTTTTCAGATTATTCATTATTGTTTCAAAATTGAGTTCATTCAAATAAATATACTAAATAGAAAATCATATTCAATGAATGAAGAATAAGATATGGAAAAGAAAATTACATAGCCACTTAAATCTATTTGCTCTAATATATTATATATCACATATGTAAAAAAAAAAATTAAAAAAAAATTACATGATAACTTATTTTATTCCAAAAAAATTCATGGTAAC